CTGCATGAACTTGTCTGATCATTCAAAATCAATTCATGAAAACATAAAGCAATTGCAAGAAGGTATAGGAAAAGTCAGAGAAGTTACTGGGTCTTGATTGAATGGTATGTCTGACTTTTTTGACCTCTCACCTTGTGGAGGAAACTTTTAAAAACAGCTTTTTACATTTTAGTAGGGCTTGTAATTCTTCTGCTCATTTTGCCATCCCTTTTTCAATGCACATTGTGGGCCATGAACAGGGCTGCCAAAGAGGTGTTTTTGGTGCAAAGAGGAGGGGAAGATGAGGGAACACAGGACATCCCTCTGGCTGCCCTGGCTGTCTCAAGACCCTAGCAGGGGGCTTGGAGACCTTGGAACAAAGTCAAAAATACCTGTGGCTTCAATTTTAGCCTGTGGAAAAGACTGTCAACTTTGTATGAGTGTTGCAGTGTGCCTTCATAGTTTACCCCCAACCCTGGTTCCTCCCCTGAAGGTGTCCTCCCAGGTATGTCAATCACTCCTCCTTTCCCCACCCTGACTCCTGTGTTATGTCTAGTAGATATAATTCACACCATTTCTAGTATGATATATGTAATATTGAATATTTGTGGGAGTGCACACGCTTGTATTAGGAGTACCCCCCACCCTCACAGGCAAAACTTGGTGTATGTTGAAACCTGATTTTACATGTAAACGGATGTGGCTTGGCCTGAGATGGGCTGGAGATGGGCTGTACCTCCAAGCGATATGGGGAGCCCAGGCACTGATCATCATGTCAACAATCCGAGATTGGTGTCATGGAAATCCTCCAGGCCGATACATGGGAATGCCAGATTCCTGTAACTACATCATGGGATTCATGAACACGGACATTGGATTGTTCCACCCAATGCCAAGAAAAGAAATTTCATTGATGTACAGGACTCTTAATGGGAAGAAAGGACTGATTGCCAAAACCCTGGCCTCAGGAGGAATTTTCCCTACAAAAACTGCTCGTACCAGGAGGATGGGGTGTAGTCATAGAGGGACCCTCTGCTGAGGCTGACTTCTTTGTTACACACCCAGCACCGATCCCGGGCTCGGCTCTGTTCATTCCTTGTGGCTGGCTAGATAGAATTTGATTGTAAAATAAATATTTTATTTTTCTTTTTTAATTTGGCTGGATCAATTTTCATTTATAACACCTGCTGAGCACTGTCTGTCACTCCTGGCATTCCAGAAGCGCGTCGAGTGATTGGGCAGATCCAAAAGATGCCCTCCACCCCCAGGGGGCATTGGGCCATCCAGATGTCCTTTGTCCCCTGAGACCTCCTCTCCCATACCTGGTTGGTGGCACCCTATCCCCTCCCGTCCTCCCCTCCCCAAGGAAAAAGGGCAAGCAGACACGCAGTCCGGGAAGTTCTGATGGAGCAGTGACTGGATTCAGAGGCCTGTGGGAGTTCTGTTTGGAGCTGCTGCTACATTCAGAGTCCTGTGGGCTAGAATAAAGCTCTGGATTAAACCCTCCATCAGAACCTACTCCTTTCCTTCACCACTGCCTTAAAGGCCCCTCCGGCAGCAGGAAACCTGAGGAGCAGACCCTCTGTGAGAGGAAATTCCATCCCGCCGCCACCTGAGCTCCGGCACGCCTGGACTTCTCTCCATGCGCCCACTGCAACATCCAGCTAGCCAAACGTGTCTCTGGGGTGAAACTCCACAGCTGCCGCTATTTGGTTCAGCAGCAGGGGCCAGACAAGCCAGGGCATGTCCCATCTTCTACATTAGTAGCTACCAATACATAGATTTGCAGGCTTCAGCATTTGTGATAATTGATCAGGTAAATAAGAAGCAAAAAGAAAAATTTGGAAAAAAAAGAAGCAAAAGGAACCATTCAGAAGAAAGAAGCAAAAAGAACAATTAAGAACATGTTTTAAATGTGGAGAAAAGCAACACTGGACAAATGTTTGTCCATCCCTAAAATTAAAAGTTTGTTATGCTTACAAAAGGAAGGGATACATAAGAGGAAATTTCCCATGGTCAAAAACTCATTATCATCACAATGAAAATAAAAATAAACAGTTGAATGAAAATTAAAAGAAACAGTCAAATGAAAATAATAAAAAAAACAAAACAAAATAAAATGAAACAGTCAAGATAAAATGACTTCTTTACTATACAGAAGTGACTGCTTAAGGTCCCTATCCATTTTCCTAACTGTACCCCACCTGGTGTTCCTTTTGATTTCTATCTTGCTATGAGTTTGCAGAAGGATCATGAATGTCAACTCTTGTTTGTTAAAACCTGGTAAATTTAAGGTAACTTACCTTAATTTTAGTTATTCTGCTGAACAGACTGGAGGGAGCAGCCTGCAGAAACTTGAAAGCACAGGGTTGCTACCGTCTCCCTGGCTCCCTCCAATCTTTTTAGTACCCTTGAACCTTCCTGCTGCCTTCTTCCTTGCTTAAGTTAAAAGCGATTGACATTCACATATACTTCCGAGGGGTTGAGTAGTCCCCACAAAACTGTATATTAATTTATTATAATTTAGAATTATAAGCGGAGATTTTAATTAATATTTTTCGAAGTTTTAATGAGTTTTAAAGAATAAGTTTATTGAACTACTCTTTAGACCTTGGTTATAATTTTCTTGCAAAGGGCCCTGCAGAAGGATGATACTCAAGGTTTGATAATAAAAAGTAGACTCAGCCATTAGCCACCTATCAAGTCACCAGAGAAGAAAGTCTACAGCCAAGTGGAGTGACTGGCCTTTTGTTATTTTACAATTGTTTTAATAAAATGAAATTTTAATGGTTAAACACCACAGTAACCAAGAGCCAGTTTATTCTCAGATTCAATTGTTTAGATATGGTTCCTGGTTACTGCAAATATTGAGTTCCTTTAAGCTTGCCTCTTCTAGAGTTTCCTCATTTAAGATTTATTTCATGTCACTTCCTTAAAGCTTATCTTTGTAAATTAATAATTTTAAGTTGAGGTATTGTTCAGTTGGTAATTAGCAAAATGGGTAAAGGCACAAAAAAGAAGAAAACATCAGGCGGAAAGTCAAACTGGTAAAACCATTTCAACATTCAGTGACTGTGCCTTACAAGCTAATTGACATTTAGAAGTAAGTCCCTCTGCATGTCATAATGACTTTAATGATTTCATGCGTTTTATAATGAGTTTATTAAGTGAAGAAGAGTCTTCCCTTATATGTTATATCAATGATTAGTTAATCCTTTCTCTAATAGTTTCTGAATTTCCTCTGTCATTTTAGTAACTTGTTGTATGTTATGAAAGCATTGTATTTGTTATATGAATTTGTATGGTTATATTTATACCCTTTCTTAATTTGTTTAAACCCCAGAACTCACCCGTCTTTTTTTTAAAAGGAAAGGGGGAGATGTTGTGCTGTTCTGGTTTGAAAGCAAAACCAGTGAGAGACTCCAAGTCAGAAATACAATTTATTGGGAAAAGGGAAAAAGACAAAAATGCATGCAATGACACAAAAGGAAGACCACTGAAAAAGTCAGAATACAACCTGACACCCCTCTTGGCCAGCGTGCTGGTAGCAGTCCAAATTGGAGTGGCTGCAGTCCTCTTGGAATGGCAGATGTGGTTGCTGTGTCTTCTTGCAAACCTGTGGAAAGGCTGCCTCTCTGTCTAGAAATCCCCGGATTTATCCAGGTGGGAATGCCTAGCTCCTCCCCCTAGGCAGAGCATCTCACAATGGGCTGATGTTATTCTGAGTCATGAGGTGTGTCCTTAATCACCTGTTAAACAGAAGTGGCTCCTGGAGAGTGTTATCTCTGAGTCATGTGTCAAGACATTGATGGGCCTGTTAACAGGAGATAAGGAAAACTGCCCAGAGGCAACTGCTATTCAGATGGTAACAGGAAACATCTTGGTGCTTCAATTTGGACCGCTGTGTTTTGCTGTAAGTTCTCGTTTGCCCACTATTCTCCTCCCTAATCTCCCCTCCCAAGTTGTCAATCCTCCCTAGGCCTACCCCTTTCTCCAGAATATTCCTTGTCAATCCCTCAGAACTCGATACACCATTTTTTTCTTTGTACTGCTCCCCTCCCCTGTTTTCCCTGATAGATATATAGAATATTAGTCCTGCCTTAGATTGGTTGGTTGTCCTGTATCACGCCCCCTAAGTTGTTGTGTAAAAACCTCTGTATACCTCCTAAGTCTTGTCTTGGGTTTGGTCTTGGATCCTCGTGTCATCCATCTAATGAATCAACCCAGTTCTACCCAAGACCCGTGCCACTCTTTTCTGTTCCTGTGCCGTCCAAGGATAACTGGGATTTGCAGAGCTCACAGGGGGTATGTCGCATCCCTGTTGCTGTTGACACTAAGCGCTCCACCAACACCCAGCACGCTGCGACACAGACACCGCAACACCAGCTCCCATATTTTTGCCTGAGAGCCCCCCTTACTTTCAAATTTATAATGATTTGCAGGGAGGGAGTTTACATTTTTTTCTGTTTCAGGGGAGGCTCAGACACCTGCCTTTACAAACGAAGACAGACTGTCCCTCTCCCAGTGCCACCATTTCTGTCTCACTGTCACCGCACCAGTGCTCCCAGTTCCATCCATCCAAGCACCCTCCCACTTGCTCCCAGCCCACCCAGGACTCCCAAACCCTCTCCCAGTCCCTTCCCAGCCCCACCAGGACTCACCCAGAGCCCTCCCAGTCTCTTCCCAGCACAACCAACCTCATCCCAACCTCTGCTTTTCCATCCCCAATCTCCTTCCAGCTCCTCCAGGCTCTCTCTGATCCCTCCCAGTCACACCCAGCACCCCCAAACTTCCTCCCAGTGCCCATCAGGACCCCTGGAACCCCATCCTACCCTCCCCAGTATCCTTCAAACCCCTTCTCAGCCCTTCCAGACCCCAAAGCCCCTCTTCCAGTTTAAACCAGGCTCTTTCCAACTCCCTCCCAGTAAGTCCCAGCACACCCCAATCCCCCTCCCAGTCCCCCCAGTGCCTCTCCCTCTGTCCCTGGTGCTGTGGGGACCGGGCTGTGCCCCAGTGCTGGCTCAGGGGTGCTCCAGGATGACGTGCTCCACCTGGCAGCTGCAGGTGACCCCGCCCTGGGAGTGGGGGGGTTTCCAGCAGCACGAGGAGCTAGTGGATCCAGTCCCTGTTGGGGACCACGTTGGTGGCCACCACAGAGAGCTCCTATTGGCCCTGGAACCACCTCAGCTGGATGTGTGCAGGGTAGAAATCCATCATGGGGCAGAGCAGGTGGCCAGGGTTGTGCTGGGAGCTTGAGGGGCCCAGCAAGATTGACACAGTGGGATGGGCCCTGGGAGAGTTTGGGAACACACTGGGATCAGCTGCGGGGAACTGGGGGAGATGGGAGAGGGCTGGTGTGGCATTGAGAGGGACCGGGAATGAAATTGGATAGGGTGGGGGGAGACAGGAAGAGAGGGGAGGTCTGGGATTGGACTGAAAAGGATTTTCAATGGACTGGGAGGGACTGGGAGGGCACTGGGAGAGAGTGGAGGTCTGGGAGTGGAGTTACAAGGAATGGGATATACTTGGAATGGAATGGCTTTGGACTGAGAGGAATTGGGAGTGACTCTGGGGAGGGACTGTGATGACTCTGGGAGAGACTGGGATGGACTGGGAGAACCACCAAAGTCATTTGGGGTGAGGGGGCAGCAGGCCACATAAGGTGGGCTGTATGCAGTGGGTCAACTCCCAGAGAGCTTTTGAGGGGCTCCAGGGTCATTCCCAGGGCAGGGCCCGAGGGGACATGCTCTGCCACATGCTCACCTCAGTGGACACTTTGTACTCGTGCTAGCAGTGCCTGTCCACTGCAGCCAGTCTGTGCTCCATCCATTCCAGGTTGCTGTTCCAGTACCTGCCAAAGTTCTCCCCAGAGGAGGTATCCCCCACATACAGCCCCACGTCACCACCCAGGTGCAGGAGTTGCTCCCACTTGTAGATGTTCCTCTGCACCAACCTCACCTGCTTAGTGCCGTTAATGAAGTGACACCCGGACTTAACCATCTCCTGGAACAGCCCTGCGTGTGCAGGACACAGCTCCGGGGGTGCCCCCCGCAGCAGCCCAGAGGAGCCAAGAGTCCTGAGGCAACCCTGACTCTGCAGCCCAAGTGCCACATGACCACCAACGGACCTTTCTTCACATGGTCCCAGTTCCTCTCTTCCACCCTTCTCCATATTTTCCTCCCACTTTCCCAGACCTCCCCAAACACCAGCTCCCCCCAACATCTGTTTGGTGGTCCCATCTCCCCATTTCCCTTTCTCTACACACTGTCCCAGCACTTCCCCTCCTGCTCACCTGGGAGCCCTGTGCCCCCAGCCAGAGGGGCTCCAGTGCGGTGGTGTGTTTTTATTTTATTTGATATTTGTTCAGTGTCTGTTCACCCCCCAACCCCCCAATCTCCTCCTCTCCCCAGCTGTCAATCTCCCCAAGCTCTTCCCTAACCCACTCCTCTCCAAGTTGTCAATCCTCCCTTTCCCTGCCCCTTTCCCCAGAACATTCCCTGTCATTCCTCTCAGCCTCCTCCCCTGCTTCCAGACCATTCCCTGTCTATTTAGTGAGGCTCAACACCCTATTGGTTACTTTGTGTTACTCCACTCCCC